GCTGCCCAGCAGGAAACTTCTCTGGGGGTGCTGCCCCAGGTAGCCAGCTGAACGTGAGCCAGCAGTATGCCCAGGTGGCCAAGAGGCCAACAGCATCCTGGGCTGCATCAAAAGGAGTGTGGCCAGCAGGAGTAGGGAAGTGACTGTGCCCCTGTACTCAGCACTGGTGAGGCCCCAGCTTGAGTACTGTGTGCAGTTTTGGGTGACACAGTCCAAGAGAGACATTGAGATGATGGAGCAGATCCAGAGAAGGGCAACGAAGCTGATGCGGGGTCTGCAGAGCATGTCTTAGGAGGAGCGATTGAGGGCACTAGGATTGTTTAGTCTGGAGAAGAGGCTGACGGGAAACCTCATTGCTCTCTACAACTGCCTGAAAGGAGGTTGTAGCGAGGTGAGTGCTGGTCTCTTCTCACAAGTAACTAATGATAGGATGAGGGGCCTAAGGTGTGCCAGCGGAGATTTAGGTTGGATATTAAGAAGAGCTTTGCTGAAAGAGTGCTGAAGCATTGGAACAGGCTGCCCAGGGAAGTGGTGAAGTCACCATCTCTGGAGATGTTCAAAAAATGTGTAGACGTGGCTCTTTGGAACATGGTTTAGTGGTCGTGTCCTTGATGATCTTGGAGGTCTATTCCAGGATTCTGAGTATATAAAAGATAGTACAAATATCTCTGTCAGACTTTAAAAATATTTAGCAAAATTTACACATTTAATAAGAGTTTTAATATAGATTTCAGGTGATGATAACAAAAATATACCTATAAAGACAACTCAAAAGCCCAAATCTGTGCTTTCATAAGTAATAGTAGGCCAAGTTTTCAAATAATGTAGGACATACACCTTTAAGTACGTATTAAATTCAAGCATTGTATTCAAACAGTATGTATTGGGAGGGAGCACTGATAATGTTGTCAGAGTAAATGTTCTCATATTGTTAGAGTGTTGTCATGAATTATTGGTGGGGTTTTCAGAAAGAAAATCAAATAAATCATTTGTATTAACTCCTAAGAATCTAGTCAGCTTCCACTGACTGTAGTTGTTTTTTTTGCCGTATTTAATATATTCCTCCCCTAAAATAATGAAAACCAAAACCAAACCTCATAGATCAGTAATTTACACAAATAACTCATTGAGCAGGTTGAATACAGTTACAAGCTGGCAAGTATGAATATGGACATGTACAAAAATTCTCCTTATACATAGACTTAATATTTTCAAGTTTAGGATGTGAAGACAAGGTAAAACTAACATGGCTTAACTTTTTTTTTTTCTTCAGGTGTGATATCTTACACAGAATATTTATTCCTCTTATGTATTTTAACAAGTAAGTATTTTTTTTGGAGAAAAAAATAGAAACTTGCTTAGAGATTTCTAAACCCTGAATGTATTCCTGTATGTTACAATACTTTTTTTTTAACCCCACCCCTGCAGGGAAAAATCCCAGTGTGGGAAAAAATGTATCATTTTATGTCCATTTGAACCTTTCCTGTCCTACTGGAATGTTAAGTACTTTATTATTTAGAACACCGTTTCCATACTGTTGAGACTGTTGAGCCACACACTTGAGCTAAATGCCAGTTCAGAACTTAAATTTATTTTCTTCTTTGAAATTTCTACAAAATTTGTAGTTTTATTTACTGAAGTTTACAAAGGAAACGTAATACAGGGAGAAGAGAAAGATATACATGATTATGGTGTGTTTCACCTATTCTGCTTAATGGGATGACATCAGTGAGGAAATGATAAAATACAAAATCTGTGAAATTGAAGTAAATGCTTATTTATGTTAGAAAGCACTAATGAAATTGAGTACTTATTCTTCTATTATCCATAAAATGAAAGTAGAATAACTTAGAGTAAATTAAGCCTGATGCAAACTTTATTCTGTTATTTTAAGGGGTGTTTTTTGGGAAGAAATATTGTACTTTGTAATTAAAACGTGTATTGGATTCATTAGGGTTTTTTCAGACATGATCTGAATTGTTTTTATGAATCAAAGCAGGAACTTGACCCTGAACCCTTAGAGTTCCTAACTGCTGGATTGATGGATATTCTTCCATTATTTCTTTGTTATCTGGACTAACTTTTGGCCATAATTCATCCAAAATGTTGCCTAAAGGCTTCACTTACAGTTACCTTCAAAGCCTCCCATGTTTCAGAAATAAAGCTCTTAAGCATATAACAAGAAATCTCTGTGTCTTTTTCAACACATCATTTTTGATCAGAAGTTGTGTCCTCTACCTTTTTTGCAAAACTTTTAAAAGTGTGGGTTAGAACACTGTTTTTATAGAAAATTTATTTTCTACAAATTTGTGTTTTGTAACATAAAATGGACTAACATAAAATGAACTAATGCTCTTTACTACCCAGCCATCCATTGCTGTGAGATATTTTTCTTGGATAGTTCATGTTCTATTACAACTGTCTATTTTCCCTAATCTATGAATTTGTAAGCATCCATAACATGGATAATACTGCTTTACAGATGTTAGTTTGCATTTACAATGTATGCAAAAGTACTAATTTAAATTAGTTGAGGATATGGCTTTTATAAACCAAATAATTTCTTAAGAGTTCTATATTTGCCTTTTTTTTTTCAAAGCAAATAAATAATTGAATGGCTATTGGGTGGGGTTTTTTGCAGAGCCACATGCAGGTTTTAGAATCGCTTTCAACATGTTTGATACTGATGGCAACGAGATGGTAGACAAAAAGGAATTCTTAGTGGTATGTATATTTTCAGTCTTTGAATATTTAGATGTAATCTTGAAATTAATTCTTTTTGTTGGAGTTATGATAATGAACATGAGATGTTCTTCACTGAATGTAGTTGTTTACTTGCCTTAACATAAATAATAAATGTAACATATTGTAAATTATAGATAGTAGCTCCTTATAAATCTGCATGGGTGTGTTGTATATAATGATCTTTGAAGCTTAATTCCAGTTTTTTATTCTGGATCTTTTCAGTTTGTACTATATTCACAGGTAATTAGGCTATTAAAGTAATAATTGCTCTATCAATGGTCAGCAGAATTATTTAATATCCGTGATGATAGCAAACTTGCAAAAGAATCTTCTCCTGGCAGACCATTTCCCTTGTTATTTCATTCTGTTTATGATCCCAGGTGACCTGAAAATGTTGGCTAACATAATGTGACACTAAGATCTGTTTTGGACAAGATCTATAATGAAACATACTATACATATGTTTAGCCCAGTAAATCCATATGCTGAAGCAATTTGCTAAGCTGAGTTTCAATTATTTCTTCTTAAGGAGAATATTCTTGACAGCACAATTGTCTTTGAACTACTGATTTTCACATGCTTTGGAACAGTTGGCAAGACCTTGGCAGTAGTTTTGTTGCATCCAAGGTTTTGTTACATTTCAACTCTGAATTACAGCATTTTTCAAGCTAGAGCTTTACTCAGTTTATTGCTTCATTAAAGTAGTTCTGTAAATGCTTCTTACTAATTATTTAAGCAGAGAATTTGATTTTCTTCTGGTTGGAAATTTAGACAGTTCTAAAAGGCCTAGACTTCAAAAGAAAAAATAATATATTTCACATGTCATTGAGATTTGTGCATTAAGAAGAATTTGCGACTTGAGAGAAAAATCTTAAAATAATCTTACAGGATCCACTATGGTTTGATTTTGATCATGATAAGCCTGGTAACTGCATCTTAAAATTGAAATACTTAGTAAGTTTTCAGGTGATAAGATCCACCAGGTATAGGAGAATGATGTTCACGCTGGCAAGTGAAAAATTAAAAAGCCTTGGAATAAGAGAGATATTTCAGATTTATGTTGAATTTAATTTGTTTTCTGATTTTAAAAGAAATGGGAGGAATAAGTAATGCTATTCTAAATTAATAGCAGTGATGAATTAAAAAACTCACTTTTTTTTTAAATCATGAAAGGCAGAAGATTGCCCACTCAGCGTTAGGACTTCTGATTTTACAGTGACTACATGACTTTACATGGCTTTACAGAGTTTTCTAAATTAGTAATATCCATATGCAGCAGACATAGTTTTTGACATTTCTCTAGAAATTAACATTTTAAATTTTGTAGTTAGTGGTTTAGACAAGCTTTCTGAAGATTGCACAAGGCCTTTGTTTTCTACTGAAAAAGTGCAGGTGATTAATAGAATAAAAAAATATTTATAAGAATTGAGTCAGGTGTTTGTAAAAATATATATTTGCAGAAGAGATCAATTCTTGTCCTCATACATTTTTGTGTATTTAAGTTTATAAATAAATACGTTTGAGAGAAGCCTACTCCCTTACCTAAGAGGATGAAACAAAGTTAAAAGCATGAAACTGACACATGGAATGGATTTAAGTGTCAGACCATGATTTATTTAAAGTGAAGACACCCTAATACCCTGTATGCTGTTTCTTAATTGTTTTTAAGTCAAATTATAAGGCTTGATTTGAGGTAAGCTGTGCTAACCTATGGAAAACAGAAACGTTTGTGGAACTGTCCTCAATACACTGAACTTCCCACAGTTCTACTTTTCAAGGGAGTGAGAGCTGAGGACTTGTTCTTTCGTGGCATAGCTTATGCAGAACAGGTCTCATTTATTTTGGAAACTGTCCATGTGGAGGTTGTGGGGTGCTGTCCATTTGTTGTATTAGTGTGCACATCCTTATATTTGCTAATTCCTAGTAGCCATCTCCTCCAGTTGAGGAAAAAAGCCAGCAAGCATTGAAGTAATTGACCAAATTAAAAACGGAGGAAGAAGAAAAAAAAAAATATCATGATTCAGTCAAACAGAATGTGGTGGAATAGACTGACAAAATTTTAAAAAAAAGAAGTTTTCTACTACAGCAGCTAAGTAAGAGGAAATTGAAGCAGGACACTTTGTCTTTTCAGGAACTGATGCTGAAAAAGGAATCAAGTATGTAAGGCGGGAAGCAAGTGCAACATTTAACTGTGTGGAAATGGCATCTTTCTTTCTAGCTATGCTTTTATAGTCCTCTTCACATTCTGCATTTTTTCTGTTCCCTCTCATGGTCCCTGATTCTTTTTCTACTACTAGACTTGGTGGCTAGAAGAAAGAAAGGAGAATTTTCACACATTAGATATATTGTTCTCCACCTGTTACTGTATTTAACAAATTTGTATAGATGAAGCCTGCATCAGTGATCCTTCAGCAATTAGATCAAAACCTGTAAGAATGTTAGATAAGAATTGAGAAAGACTAAAATAGGTAGGTAGGTGGATAGACAATGTCTGTGTAAATAAAAATGAATATGAAAATAAAAGCTGATTCTGTGATGCTGCATCTGTGATAGAGCTGGCCCCAGAACATATGTTTGGCATCTGTACTCACCGTGCTTGTGTATGGGTCATCTCCTTTGTGCCTGGAAGCAGGAGACTGTAAGCGTTGCTATTTGAATTATATCCCGCATTTGCAGAATACATCTGCATTTATTACAGTTAGCTATCATAAAACTGGAATTATAATTAGTACTATTCAGTTTTGCAAATAAGGGGACTTTAGAGAGATTGGTGTAGGGATCACGGTATGTGATTCTTGAAGAGTACGCGTAGTAAAAACTTGAAAAAATACTTAATTCCTCTGGTAACAGCTTTACTGGTTGTGTAAACTAATTCCTAAACACTAATGGTGTTTATGCTTTCCTCTTTGCTTATGTCATAGGGGTGAGGGAATAGAAGGATTGTGTTACCTTGTTACAGGAGATCTTGTTTTTGCTGCTTTCAGCAGTCAATCTCATTATCCTGTTTAAAACAATGTTCCTATGAAAGTACTCCTAGATCCTTTTTGCATTCACTCTCCTACCCGCTGGTGTCCTATAGCACCCCTTCTGAACAAAAGATCCATTTCCAGAAGTTTAGCAAGTGCTTTAATGATGAATGCAACAGAATCCTACTCCCTTTGCTCTGTGGCAGGGGAAATACATTCAGGGATACATTCTTTTTTTCTGATTTTGTTTGTTTGTTTGTTTGTTTTCTCAATTACTGCCACTCTTCTCTCCTACCTGATGGCTTGTCATTTCACTTTTCACAAGGTATTTTTCTCTCTCTTTGTTAACCTTTTCTCTTTCTTGGGTTGCAAACTGTGAAGTGCTTTAGGCCATACAGCTAAATGCCCTATCATAACTTTTTTCTTGTTAACAGTAAGTTAACAGTAATATGTTTGTGCATATAGATTTGCAAAAATAAGGAAAAAAACATACTGAGATCTGTAAATTGATCCTACACTCAAAAATAGGCATAGTGATGCATGCAATATTCTGATCTGTATTTGCCTTATAGGCAATTCTAAAACATAGTCTTTTATTTGGGAAATACATAAAACATTATTTATAAATAAGTCTGATACTTAGTTGCTGAACGCTATTCATTTATTTCAGTGTTGTCATACCCTTGCAATAGAGCTTGCTGATCCCTTTGTCTTAGTCATCTGCCTTCCCTGAAGTACGGTATTCTGAAATTAAATTTGGAAAATTTACTTGCAAAATTTATCACACACACGTTATCTTTCACATTGCAACCCCTGAGGAGCTCTGTGCTTGTCATTACAGTATCAGGTTTTTATCAGACTTTTAGTAGGTAAAATCACATCTTTGTAATGACTGCCACGATTGGGTCTGTATCCCATGATGTTTGGTTCTAAAAATGCCAGATTTGTCAGCCACAGTGTTTATTCTTTTTCCAGCCCACTTTGAGATTAGCAAATGCTACAAGTCAGAGTACAATATTTTCATGTGCAATTTTTTCAAAAGCTGAAGTTCATAGAATCCTAGAATGTTCTGGGTTGGAAGGCATCTTTAAAGGTCATCTAGTCCAACCCCACTGCAGTAGAGAGGGACATCTTCAGCTAGATCAGGTTGCTCAGAGCCCTGTCCAACCTGATCTTGAATCTTTCAAGGGATGGGGCATTTAGCACATCTCCAGGCAACCTGTTCTAGTGTTTCGCCACCCTCATTGTAAAAAAAATTCTTCCTTATATCTAGTCTAAATTTACCTTCTTTTAGTTTCAAAACATTACTCCTTGTCCTGTCACTACAGACCCTGGTGAAAAGTCTGTCCCCATCGTTCCTGTAGGCCCTCTTGGAGTATTGAAAGGCCCCAGAGCCTTCTCTTCTCCAGGCTGAACAACCCCAACTCTCTCAGCCTTTCTTCGCAGGAGAGATGTTCCACTCGTCTGACCATTTTTGTGGCCTCTGGACCTGCTCCGACAGGTCCATGTCTTTCCTGTGCTGAGGACTCTACAGCTGGACCCAGCGCTCCAGGGGGGATCTCAGCAGAGCCGAGGGGCAGAATCACCTCCCTCAGCCTGCTGGCCACACGTCTACTGATGCAGCCCAGGGTGCGAGTGGCTTTCTGGGATGCGAGTGCACATCGCTGGCTTGTGTCCAGCGGTTCATCTGCCAGTACCCTCAAGTCCTTCTCTTGCAGGGTGGCTCTCTATCCCTTCATCCTACGGCCTGCATTCGTACTGGGGGTTGCCACAGCCCAGGTGCAGGACCTTGCACTTGGCCTTGTTGGACCTCATGAGGTTCACACCTCATGAAATTCGCTGGTAAAAACGTAAATGGTATCATAGTTACTAATGTTCTCTTTTGCTGTGAAGAGTAAACACTGACACTTTTTTTTATGTTTGGGAATATTAGTAAGCGTTGCTATAAATAAAAATAACTAAATAACGCAGATACTTACAGAGAAAGTTAATAACAGACCAGTTCTTGCACTGAAGACTTTATAATTTCAAATAAATATGCTTGAGAATATGTTTTAAGTCTTGTATTCAAGATTTTCTCAGAAGTCATGTTTAAAGCTCTTGACATAGAGAAGGTTGTGAAAGGGGTATTTTACAAGACCTGAAGGTATTCTTTGAACAGGCTTGACAAAAAAAAAAAAGGGTACTTGATAAATTACTGTTGAGTAGTACTTTGTTGCTGCTGAAGGGGAATGTTTCACCCCCCACCAGGTGTTTCCACCCCTCCCTTGTGCCAGCAGGAGTAAGAACTGATCTCGAAACTAACAATATGAAAAAAAGATTGATCCAGCTAACTACATAGCCACACAGGTACTAATTATTACCCGACAGGAAAAGATGGGCTTAGAGATGTTGAAAGAGGCTGGAACTCCCCCTTTTTGTGTAGGCTGAATTGGCTAAAATGTAAAGATAGAGTAGATAAAATGTTCTTAGTATTGTGCTCCCAAATAGAATTATTAGGTTTAATTTGTGGAAAAAAAGTATTTCATTTTTCCTTTCTGTGTGATGGTGTAGGTCACAGAAGGAGCATGAAGGCACAAAGGTGACCAATAAAGCATCACTGAAACACTGATACTTTAGTAAAGAACTACATTTTAATACTGTTTGCATTGTTCCTCACATGAATCATTGTTATGCATGTGAAATAGCCTGAAAAATAAATAAGAACAAAATGGTTTGTTTTTTAGCTACAAGAAATTTTCAGGAAAAAAAATGAGAAAAGAGAAAGAAAAGGAGATGAAGAAAAGCGTGCAATGCTGGTAAGTAACATTAAAATAAGTATTCTAATTCTAATAACTATTCTACAGCTGGTAGTTGGCTTATTTCTTTGATGTAGAATGAAATTGTGTATATATATTTCACTAATCACTTTCAGTTTTTTAAAAATAAATTCATATCATTAAAAGAACATGCATAACTTTATATATAGAAAAAAGCAATATTTAGCCTAAACTGCAGCTATTAAAAATATATAAGCGGTCTACAGAAAGGAAAAATTGGTGTTTAAATACTGCATTACGTATTACAACAGTAGCACGGATTCCATTTGGAGTCTGTAAATCTAGGAAAAAGTGAATAGTAATGACCCAGTGTTATTGTCTATAAAAGTGAGAGATCTCAGTGGCAAGACTGGACTGTACTCCTGCTCTCTTAACTAACTCAAGCTGCTCATGTAGAGATACTGATCCTGATGCTTGTTATAATAGTTTTAAGATAGCTGATGAAATAGTTTTAAGATAGCTGATGAAATGTTCGAAGTGAATTTAGATTTTGTATTAAAATTTAATTTCTTGTTAAATGCTGCTTATGACCAGTGCCAAATGGTTTTGTTTGTTTATATTATCTGAACAGATTTTGGTGGTGTATCAAATATTTGTTCTTGTATAATGTCTAATCTGCATTTCTTATGTGCGTAAGAAGGTAAGTCGGAACTAGACAAGTCTGTGGTGGTTTGTCTGGAGGATGGCAGCAGCAGAAGGAATTTATTTTACTGTTGGACAAGTGAAAATCGGGGATAAGTCTCTGTCAAGCCCACAGCAGAGAAAAACATGTTCATTTGTGACTTGCATATTTATGGTAAAAACTCCTTATTATAAGAAAATTTTTGACATATCTGAGAGCTTCTCATAGTGCCCATTATCCTTTTGGGATCGTAGGTGCTTGATCTTAGATTTTTGTCCCTGAAATGATAGGAAGTTTGAAATTCAAGAATTAATACTTGGTAAAGTTTTACTGAGCATAAAAGGGGATCTTTTCCTCCCACCCAGAGAGACCTATTCTCAGCTTTTCAAAACTCTGGGTCAGTTGTTGAATCTTTCACACAATATCTTTTCTGAACAAAGGAAACTTATACCCAAAGGAAGAGCTTCTGGAAAAAGTAAAGATTGCAAAATTGAACATTTCTACTGAGAGTAATCTCTGCAACTTTGTACTTCTCTTTTGAAAATGAGATTGATCATGAACCATTTTTTCTTCACTGTCATTTTAAAAAAACAAAAAGAAAATCTAATAATGTATAAAATAAAGATCTGCTTGTCTTAACCTATTCTATTGTCTTTTTTTTTTTCTTCTTTTGACTTCTTTCTGACATGTGATTCTTGGCTTGGCCCGTTTTTACTGTATATCAGCGTCTTCAGCTTTATGGATATCATACTTCTACTAACAGTGTATGTACTCTAATTATTTTCAATTTATGCAGTCTTCACCAGTGAGGTGAAATAATATGCTATAGGAAAAATGGCTATATTTATCTTTTTCATCAAGTAAATTACGTATCAGTAAAATGTAATGGATCTTTACTTGCATCTTTTAAGTGAATGTTTGTTGCACTCATTCTGAAACAAGCAAGCTTACCAGTGAGAAAGGTTGCTCTCTCTTATTTACATAAAATAAAGTATGTTTTTAATGGAAAGAACAAAATATATATTAAGAAATTATAGACTTTTTAAATTAATGTGTGTAAATTAAGTCATCCTGCATGAGCCATTTGATCAAGTGTCAAGGTCTATAAGCATACAGTGATGTTTTAATGGGTTAAATAATTTTGTATTTTCATTTGCATAGCTTAATTCTTTCAAGTCATGTTCTGGTGCATACTGCAGCTGTGTGTTGAGACTACTTCAGCATGTCTTGCATGAGTGTTCTTACTAGCCAAATGCCAACCGGAACATGATAATTATGATGAGCTGCATGTAAGGGAAATAAAATGTACATGCCCAGAAGTACTAATTCCATTGGCTAACGTGAATCTCCAGTAAGAGAGCAAATTTGGTGACTACTTAAAATCGATAATTACAGAATTGTATGCATGAAAGAAAGAGGTGTTGTTCATTCCCATGACCCAGTAAATATATTTAAACAAGGTAAGTTTAATCATCGGATATGCATCAGTGTTTTCTTGGTAATTGTATTACGGTTGAAGTTGGACTTACTAGACTTGGTTTTTGCATTTCTTTATTGGTGGAAGGATAAAATTAATTTTATATAACCAGTTATATGGTGATATTTGTATTTTGACCAATGATAGAGCAAATTTCATAAGTACATAGATGAAAATTTAAACAGAGTTGTTAGGAAAAACAACAGCAAAATACTGGATTTAGATGGACATTTTCACATGTACTTTTAATAAATATTTTCAGTTTAAGCTCTCTCTAATTTACATTGTTCGGGAAAGTGGAGTCTGGTGATACGTCAAATGATGAGTAATAAACATATGTAATAGACCAGTATTCCTTTCATTTGCAAAGTATCAAGTAACTGGGTAGAAATTTCTTTGTGTAGAAGCAAGAGAATCAAACCATGCTTTTGAAAATCACTTGGAAAACAAGTCTGTAAGTGGTTTTTTTTTAATTGTTCTTTGTCAAACAATTGTGCTTCTTGAAACTTCTGCAGGTTCTTAAAACAGAAGGAGAGGACCTTGTCCCCAGAAGCTACTGGGATACTTTGAGGCGTAGCACAAGCCAAGTACTCTTTTCGGACCTTGCAGAGGTATAAGACAACCTCTGTCTCTGGTCCACAAACAGACTGCTATTTTATTTATTTCTGTTCCGATTATTTTCCCATTTTATGAACTTTGTTTCCTCTCTTCCTTTTAATTACTTTTTCTTTTTTTTTTTTTTTAAACCTGCAAGTTCCCAGATGAAATGGATTTGATTCTGTGTAGTGCAATGATTGAAAGTTGTTATTTCTAAGAAAAAGTAAAGATACCTTTTGAAAGAGTTGGAAGATCAAGTCCTCTTCAGTCCTTTCTGTAGGAGGTATTTTCTAACACTGATAGTGACAGTATTTCACAGTTAGAGAAGTAATTCAGGAAACCTTTGTCATTTAAGCTTGTTCCAGTGATATGACAACTTTGGTGAGAGTTGCAGCCCTTTAAGCTTTTGATCTTTAGGTTCTTAATGTGCTTTTTATGTATGTTATCAGGGCCTATCTATCATGCAGAGATTGTTTTAATTGTTGAATGAAACCAAGAATGTTTTAAGGTAACCAGAACATTAGTCAGTCTTTTTTAATATTCCATTATTATGGATGACTAGCAATATCACGAAGCTGTCAAAATGAATTTCCGTAGTGCTTTAAATTCTACTAAATTTCTTGTTTCGTGATCTGCTTTCAAATAACTAAGACATTTATTTGTTTTGATCATTTAAGAGGGTCAGAAAACTAGAACATTTAGGCTTTTCTATGCCAAATGCAGTGAGCATGATTGCTCTGCTGATTGTGGCATTAAAGGCCATACAGCAGCTCCCCGAAGACTCCAGTCTCAAGTTCCTTGCTTCATAAGCAGGATCATAGTGAGAAAAGAAGTAGGAAGTGGAACAGACCTCCAGGGTAAAACAATCTTTTTCTTTGCTTCGTAGGCAATGTGTCCATATTAAAAGTAATTAGTGTTTTGTCCCCGCTGCTCCTCTGCAGAAGCTATTGAATAACCTGAGGACTTGGATGGACTTGTTCTAATTTCCAGGCTAAATTCACATGTAGTCCCTTTATGCCAGTCTGTTGTCCCTTAATTTTCATAGGGCTTTTTCTTCTTTAATGTTAATCTTCTTACTCAGGATGTGTATATAAATGCAGTCACAGCCCTCAGTTTCAATTATCAGAGGCCAAACACAAGGTCTTTGATTTTTCTCTTGAGATAGAACCTGTCTTATCCAGATATCAAATAGGCCTCCTCTGTGCCTTTCTCAGCTTCAGTTCATTTGCCTTTGAACAAAGCAAAATGAAGCATTACAGAATTGTTTTATACCAATATTTATAGTAGTAATGCATTCATAGTAATCTTGCAATAAAGCAGTATACCCAGCCTTTCTTTCCTTGCTTTTAAATTGACAAGCTCTTGAGCTATTAGATCAGTTAGTAGTCCTTATTTATTTCACCAAATTTTAAACTCCAGAACATCAGTGGTCTTGTATGGTCAGCTATGGAAGACATAGAGAGGAGAGAGGGCTGGTCTCTTCATTGGCTATCTAAGGAGCTCAAGACACTGCGTTTTCTGAGTTCACTGTCTTCTTAATCTGTAGTTAGCTGTCATGAATTTGGTCCCATGTGTAGGTGGACTTCAATTTGGTAATCTCTGTGAACCTAGAGGGACCATTTCTGTTTAACATCTTTATTGCTGGTCTTGGTAAGGACGCCAGGTTAGGTGGGAATGTTGATGTGCACGAGGGTAGGGAGGCCCTACAGAGAGACTTGGATAGGTTAGATCAATGGGTCAATGTTAACAGTACAAGACCATTAACTTCAACAAGGCCAAGTACCAGGTCCTGCACTTGGGCCAAAACAACCCCAGGCAACGCTGCAAGCTTGAGGAAGTGTGGCTGGAAAGCTGTCTGGCAGAAAGGGACCTGGGGACTCTAATCGACAAGTGACTGAATATGAGCCAGCAGTGTGCCCAGGTGGCCAAGAAGGCCAATGGCATCCTGGCTTGTATTAGAAACAGTGTGACCAGCAGGACTAGGCAGGTGATTGTCCCCTTGTACTCAGCACTGGTGAGGCCACAGCTTGAGTGTTGTGTCCAGTTTGGGCCACCTCAGTACAAGAGAGATATCGAAGTGCTGGAGTGAGTGCAAAGGAGGACAACGAAGCTGGTGAAGGGCCTGGAGAATAAATCTTAGGAAAAACGATTGAAGGATCTGGGGCTGTTTAGTCTGAGAAGAGGAGGCTGAGGGGAGACCTCATCACTCTCTACAACTACCTGGAAGGACGTTGTATAGAGGTTGGTGCTGGTCTTTTCTCACAGGTTATTAGCGATAGAACAAGAGGGAATGGCTTCAAACAGCAGCAGCAGGGTAGGTTTAGACTGGACGTTAGGAAAAAAATTTTCACAGAAAGAGTAGTCAGAGATTGGCATAGGCTGCCCAGAGAGGTGGTTGAGTCAGCATCCCTGTATGTGTTTAAAGGTCATTTAGATGTGATGTTGGGGGATATGCGATATGGGTGAGCTTTGCAGAGTAGGGTTAATGGTTGGATTCAGTGATCCCAAGGGTCTTTTCCAACCTGAATGATTCTATGAGAATGTGAAGAGGGAGAGGGTTTTTACATCTGATGCCTCAGACTAATATCTATAACTACAATGTAGTTGAAGCTTAACAGCAGCTATACTAAATATTGATTTAAGTTGTCTGTAAAATGTGTAAAAAAATCTCTCTGCTGACTTGTAAATCATTTTATGAAGAAAAATCATGTCCTGCGCTTGCTCCACTGACAGTTTCCCACTTCTCACCATAATCGTCTTTATCTTGTTTGGGTTAAGTTTGAGCTGGCTGGCTTTCATCCATATTCTTATCTCTCCCAGATACTCTCACATCTGAATGATACTATAGCCATCTGTGCTAAGAAAGTGGCATAAAGCTAGGTGACACTGGAGTCTGTGTTGTTTCATAGCCTTTTGAGAAGGCCTTGTGTAAGCTGAAAAGGAGAGTAAATAAGGTTCATTGTTGGAGGCATCAACTTTCAAGATCTCCTGGGGGGGAAATAAGTTATTCATCACATACAGTTTCTTTCTAGGGCCGTTTACAGTACTATTTCTGCTGTTCCTGATTTAGCAACTACATCATCCTGAATATGCCAGTTATCACTGAATTCTCTGGGTTTATTCTTAAATTACTGAATGAAACTGGAAAGCAGTAGATTTGTTATTGACATTGAAAAAACAAGGACTTGTAGTAAGACAGCTCTTACTAATTCAATGCATAGTATGCAAACTTGATTCTCAGAATTTGTTGCTATAAGGGGACTGTCTCTGATTAGTTTACTTTACTTTTAGTCAACAGTCTTTAAAACAGTCTTTAATCAAAAGCTTGGAATTCGTTTTGCAGTATACGACCCCCCCCCAACCCCACACACATTGCTGCTCTTCAGGTTAGGAATTTGAGAGAAAAAGATGTTGCCATTAGGAAGCAAGCCAGTAACGTTACTCAAACATTTGTCTCTATTTGTCTCTGTACTTGTATGTGTATTACAGTTAGTATAAAGGTAAAGAGGAACAAGGCAGGGTTTTATTTTCATTTAAATGACTGCAATATATATTAGCTCAAAATAAAGGCTCATATTTATTATTTATATTTGGAAACAGCTATGGCCATTTCATTTTCAGAGGTCTCAAATACCAGATTCTTTTTATTGTGAACAATAAATACAAATTTCAAATGAGTAAGTCTTTTTGTTTTATCCTTACACCTTAAGAGAATTTAATGCTGCCATACAGAAGGAGCACAGGAATAGTTTTCAGTTGCATGCAGTTCTGCAGAGAAGCATACTGGGTTGAGTTTCTGGAGTGAGGTTTTTGTTTGGGGTTTTCTCATTTATTGAGGCTGACCAAATGGGAATTGTGAAAAGATCTCCAGATTGTATTTTTTTTTAATGGTTCTTTAGATATGGGTGAATGCAACCTAAGTCTAAGGTTTTGAAATGTTTTTCCAAGATGAAAGGCTGTAATTTAACATTTGATATCTTTTCAGTCTACTTGAGGGAAATTGTTTGAATGTGCTTAGGGATTTAATTGCTTAAAAGACATGAGAAATCAGGGTATTTGCATTTCAGTATATTGTGTCCTGTAGTGGAGGATAACAATATTAAAAGACAAATAGTGATTATTTTTCTGAATTAGTTTAAAAGACATTTGAAGAGCTGAGCTGTCTTAATTGAAATGACATAAAATATCACCCTAGGTGTATATACATTATGTCATCTTATTTCTCCCTGGAGAAGAATATGAGACTAAAGAGGAAGCTAGAATACATGAAATATAATCTTGAGAATCCTAAAGTACTAAAAAGTCCATCTCTGGTTCTTGGACGTTGAAAGGATTTGTGTGGTTTCTGCCTCATGTTTTTCCTTGTTGATACAGAAATACTCTTAATGAGTATTGTCTTTTTAGAAATATATATAAATTTGAAATTTATATAGTATATTTCAGAGAATGTAGGTACAAAATGCTTTTTCATGGTACATGATGTTGAACTACTGCATACTGTTTGAAATTTCTTCCTAATTTCTTCATTTGGAGTTTCTCCATCTGTTATAAATTTAAAGCCTCTTCAGTTACGAAATAAGGTCAAGCTTAAAGGACTCTGCAGTTTGCAGTCTTGTACATGCAGATCTTTATAGATGTGTATAAAGAGTTTTCTCTTCATATAAGAGTTTTTCCAATAGTAAGTCGCATAGGTTTATAATCCATGTTTATGGTGATAAATTAGAACTTTTACATCTTCCAGATACTTACTAGGCTTCTGTACTATGTATTCTGTTTTGTACTTCATCAGCAGGGTCAACAGGCACACTTCCCCAAAAATACGGTGTTGTAGATGGGTGGTAGCTTGCCTAGGAAGAGCAGAGACTGTTGGCTTCCACTCTTTGATTTTCATGAGATCTTGTCTTTGTAAGAGAAATGAGAGCTTGGACAGAAGGTTTTCCCTAGGCAAGTGCAGCAAGGAGACAGAATATATTACTTTTTGAACTTCTAATGGTGGCAGGTGCATGTCAATGCCAGAAGGACATTGCCATGGTGGAATACTATGGCTTAGTTGAGAGCCTTGTATTACTGAATTATTTTTCTAGCTCTTCAGTAATATCAAGAGTTTCTCTGAAAAAGAGGTAAAACCAAGGCACGTACTCGACAGTTAAGGGTAATGAATACGTAGTAAAAAAGTGTAATGTTGTACAATCACTATACACAGATGATAGTCACTTCTTTGTATACACTGATGAGAGTTACTTTTGTCTATATGCGTCTTCTGTTTGCAATTCTTGCTATTACAAATGGACGAGATTAGTTGGTTTTACTATTTAATTCTGTACCTTCGAAGCTGATAGTTAATTGAGGGAAAAAGTACTCGTACATGTTCAAAGATTCCTATCTGATACAGAGACCACATACTTGGTAGATGAGGAACATTCTTAAAAGAATGAGTCAAAATATTACTTCATGATGTCAAAATTTCTTACAATCCTGTTGTTTTAAATATATTTGGGCAATAAAGTTTAAACTAGTCATCTGCTGCTTACAGAGTAGAACAGTATAAAGTACCTCTGACTGATATGAGTGGTTTTGGAATACAATTCCATAGTTAATAATTTTGAAATGTAAAATAGGCATATATGAAGTAATGTCTTTCTAATTTCTTTGTAGTTGCATAGTAGAAGGGAAAAGAGATTGCGCACAAAGGGAGTTACCTTTTTGGTTTACCTAAACTGACTAGAACTTTTTATTTTTTCCTCAAGCTTTTCTGGCTTTATTTTTCATGCTTTTTTCCCCCTTCATTGGAGCACCCTCTTTATATTAAATTTTGTTTTAAGTGTTTTCTACTAAATGCATTTAACAGCCTGATGTTTTGTGTGACAATTGCATGACTAAATTAATTTAATGGCTTTTAATACTAAACTCTTTTTTAAGACTCTGAGCATAAAACACAAACTCTTTTAATAGTCTATTGTGATTATAGGCATTCTCAGATGATATTTCTGTAACTGATTAAATCATAGCCCTTATATTTTTTTTATTCTAATATTTAAGCGTTCTGATGATATTTCAAGTTCACTGTCAGATACTACACTGCTTGTGCACTTTTTCGGCAAGAAAGGAAAAGCTGAATTGAACTTTGAAGATTTTTACAGGTGAGTCTCTATCAATTCCTTATAAAAGAATATTTGCATGCTTGCTCAAATGAATGTGTAGTATGTATTACTATACACATAGTTTGAGACATACATATGAAATTTATGTTCCCTTTGGGTATGTTATATATACAAGAAGTTATATTGTGTGTATATACACACAATAAAATGGACCAGTAATAAGTCCTTTAGTAATGCTGCTGCACCAGCAAATATTGTTAGCATTTGTGTGCATAGTTGCTGTGGAGTGAAGAGGTTATACCCAAACACTGTCTATAGCGGTGCCTAGGAACTTTTTTTCTTGGTTTTGAATTATTTTTATTCTTTTCCCTTGTTTGTAAGTGATTTAAAAAAATCTTTGTGTGCATCTCTACTCTTAGGGACATATTTAAATATAAAGATTTTTCTGAAGATGCTGTGCTGACACATTAGAACAAACCTCTTTGGAACAAGTGAAAACATGATGGAAGCTTTTGGCTTAATTATTACGCCAGTTAAAATAGAGTGTAGAGGTATAGGTGGAGCGCCATAAAAACAGAGCCATAAAACTTTACGGGTTTTTTTGTGATTGAAAGAGATAGTGTTTGGTTATTGTTTCCTCAGTGAATACTCCCAATACCTATTGTCTTTATGTGTGTTCTGATTAAGCACATTTGCAAAATATTTTGCCTTAAAATTATGTGTCACGAAAAGTATTCAGTATTCAGTATTTCATAAAAAGTGTGTTATCAAGTGGAATTGTTATGTGAGTTCAAAATGAGAACCAGAAAAGAAGGTATTTTTTCAAAAAGCATCTTTTGCTGCAAGATGGTCTGAATGCTAAAGAGGTCAAAGCCTAGTAGACATTAATGAAAGATGGATTCCTCAAATTTTATTCAAGACCACTCAAAAAATCATTCAACTATGGACAGGTAAGGGAAATACTATTGTATGTTTACCTTGCACTTACACTTCTGCCTAGATAGCCTTTTGATTTGAGCTCCTCATAGTCCCTAGAAATCAAGTTACATGTTAGGAAGGAGCATTGCAGACAATGTCTACAGGATGGGAGGTGCTACAGGATCTGGTTGACAATCAGATGAATATGAGCTCCCAGGGCAGTACATTGAGCTGAGCGCAGATTTCGTCCTTGATTGTACAACTAGGACATCAAGCAGAATCAGAGAAGTTACATTTCCCTTTTATATGTATCTGGTTTTATACTTTACCCACTTTTAGCATCCAGAATGTACGAAATAGGTTGTTAAGTTGGGAAGAGTTTAGAGAAATGTAAGAATAATGAAGTATTAAAAAACCCAGATTGTTAGATAGAAAGACTGCAAGAGCTCATCATACTTGTCTTGTTAAAAAGCGAAAGGTAAGGTTTAATCACAGTCTGTAAGTAACTATATGGGGAATAAATTTTGAGAATTCATTTAGTATCAGGATGGAATTTTCAGTCTAGCATATAAAAATAAAGATCAGTGACCCACTGAAGAAGAAAAGTAAGGAAGCACAAACTAGAAATGTAACACATGAAATGTACACAAACTGGAAAGGTAAATATTGTCTCGATCCTTGCTAAAACATTTAATCTTTGAGTTAAGATTGTTTTATTGAATAGAAAAATATGTCAGTGTAGATGAGGGTTTTACCATCAGTGCTACAAAAAGGGAACTAATTTGTAGATTGTTGTCTGGCTTCATATTCTATGAATCTTTTAAGGATATAATTTGTAGATATATAAAGTATTACTATTTCTTCATATTTTTGTTTGTGCTTTAGATTTATGGATAACCTACAAACTGAGGTTTTAGAGATAGAATTCCTTTCCTACTCTAATGGGATGAACACCATCAGTGAGGAGGACTTTGCCCATATTCTTTTGAGGTATACAAATGTGGAAAATACATCAAGTTACCTGGAAAACATGCGCTGCAGAATTCCCGAAGAAAAGGTAATTGTTTAGCTAGCACAGCAGTGGGCCACAGCATCCAGTCCCAGTGTCGTCAAGATGAAAACAGCTTTATTGGACTGAATGAGATTCTGTCACTGAATTAATTAGCACCAGGACTTTATTCTGATCATAAGATGTGTGTCTCATCTTTTTCAGATTGCTTGCTGAATAAAAAATAGAAAATAGCATAGAATTATTTCCATAGGATTTAGCTAGTCATATTTTTCTTTAGATAACAAAGCTTTATAACACATGAAAATTCAATTTAAACAGCCAAAACCCTAGCAATGATGCATTAAAACCCCCTTTTTTTTCTTCTCTGTTGCACTGCCACTGGAATAGCACCTCTTCAGAAATAACATTGACACCCTTTATTTGCTTCTTTTATAGTCCATATAGTGGATCACTTCTATGTAATTATTGATGAGTATGTGGTTCTTATATTAATGACTGAAAAGATAATAAAAACAGTAAAGGTCATGAGATAGATCTTCATTTTTTTAACAGTAAATGTGGTGTCAGAATTGTATCTGAGACAAATGTAGTTGCAGCTGTGCATTGATGGTAATAAGTAGGATGATGTTAAAATTAACCCTTCAAATAAGGGATGTCTTGGACAGACTCCTGTTTGTGTTTATAGGAGAACAGAGTAATCTATCCTAGAAATCTACCTCTTGTGATAGCTATATATTTTAATAGCATTGACAACAGAGTGTGTGAGGAGAAGTAATAAATCAGTTGGAACAATTTTGTAGCTTTTTTTATTTTATTTGAAAAATTACATTGTAACATCAGTCTACAGAATAAGTAAGATCAGTCAGCTGACCAGATGGAAACACGTGCCAAAAATCAGGAGTTTTCTCTTCAGCTGTTGGGATTATCATGATTCTTCCTGTGGTTGTGCAGCAATGAGGTACACTGAGAGATAAATATAGCTGGGGAGTGGAAAGGGAAAAAAAAGCCAGGCCTGTCTGTTTTGCACCAGGCAGATTAGGTGTAAGATGAAGTGGTAAGATTGAGATCAGCATTTGTTCCTGCTCGGTGACACTTTCTGAGTTCCCAGTCTAGCCGCTGAGGTGCTCAGTTCTGAACTGTCTACTCTAAAAGCAGCTTTCAGTGTTCAAAACCAAGATAGGGCAGCAGAAATGGTTTACAGTCTTTTTGCGTCATTCCAAATGTTTTTTGTTCAGGATGAAATGGAAAAAAAATTTAAAAAATCACTTTGGGGCTTGTATAACAACAGTGATATAAGTTCACTTGAGTAGCTGAAAAATAATGACAGTCATAGATACAGAGAAATACTTCTTTGAATGGCAAAGGTGAAGTTGGTTAAGTAAATATAAATACAGACAGTGCTGTGTTCCGGGAATATCCTAGCACCTGACCAGTACTGTGTACCTCTACATCATATGCTGTACCTCCGTTAAGTAAAACAAGACATTTTCCATAGCTCTGTATCACTGGCTTGGTAAAGGAACTGTCAGTACAGTGGAAAAAGTAAATCTCTTTAACACCTCTTGTGCTGGCCACAGGCTTTTGAGAACGGGATTTTCCCTCTTGCTGCCGTGGAGGCATTGTTCACATGTTTGCACTTTTTTACACTTGTAAGAACATTGCAGTTTGAAAATTATGAAAAAATTCACATTCTGTTTTATACCAGTGATAGGCTGCAATACTACTGCAAACCAGAGAATTTGATTTAGAAGAAAAATTAGTCTAGCCTGTAAAGTAATAGGCAGCTGCTCTCAGCGTTGGCCGTGCTACTTTCGTGGTGCTGTATGTAGAAGCCTCCAAAGCAATGTGATGATCATTTGGCATTCTGTAGTCATGTTAAAATGTTCAGCTGACGTGCTTGCCTGCTCCTAGAGGAGGTGTTTTCCTCCTCTAGATGTCAAGTAGTGATTCATTTAAGCTGGCATCTTGAATTACCTCAAATATCAGCTCCTAAGGAGAGTCTATCCATTTTTAACAGCATTTGTGCATTAATGTAAAGGTGTTCTTTGCTGTAATAAAATATATTCTATCCAAATAAATTAAAAAGTTAGTTTACTTCTACATAGAAAATAAGTAGTATCCAGTAAGAAACATCTGGGATATCTACAGATAGATAACTTTCCATGTGAAAATGCGAAACATATGGCAAATACAATATATTATTATAGTTACTAGTTGAACAAAATATGGCTGTTCTACAACTTTTGAATCCTTTGCTGCATTTTCTTGAGAGGAAGTGAACATGTACAATTGCAGATGATTTCAGCAGTAATTGTAGAGCTCTTAAATTAAGCCAGATATTTATCTCATTGCTAAAATATTATGGCATACGTACAGGTTAGTGGCTCCTTTATTTACTTGCTTCATCTCCAATGTCAACTCATGGCAGCGGTTTTCATGACTCCGGAAACACCAAAGCTACTAAAAGGCTTTGTTTTAAGACCAGTGGTTCTCAGCCTTGTCTGTGCAAGGGCTACTTTGCGTTTAGACTGATCATCTCCTCTCTGGTTACATGGAAGGAGCCAGGATTTTTGCAGTAGCCTGACCTCTTACACTATCTCCCACGTTCAGAGTCTTTACAGACAAATCGGTGCAAATTAAGGATTTTTAAAAGTCATTGTGAACCTAAAAATGCCAGCTTAAGACTTAGATGGCCATTTTCTATTATTGCTGTTTTGCCATAGTACCTGAGAGCCCTAGCTGGGGACTGACATTTCACCAATCTACGTATTTCACAAATATGTGACAAAAATCATTCCAGTCCTAGAAATTTTTCAGGTTAAACAGAGCGCAAGAAAGAGAACTTAGACATAAACTATCATATATCAAATACGATGAAACAAGAAGACAGTGTTGGTTCGTATTAGTAATGTAAGCTTTAGTTGAGCTCATGACATGCATTTATGAATTCATTCAGTGTGTTTCTGTGAGCATAAACACACGTAATAGCGGTTTTCAGGTTTTCAGTAGTAAAGATACTCCAATACTCATACAGACATTCTCAATATTAACTGCTGTATCATAATAATCCTAGAATTCTTAAAGATTGCCTTAAGCAATAGAAAAATATTTTTGGCTGCTGTTTGAGTGAGAATTGCTATCTGTAGCACTGTCAAAGAGGAAAGACATCTTGCATTCCTCAGGGGACTCTAATTCTTTGCTTTATTGACTTCCAGTACAAATCTGTATTTTTTTCAATGGATGGAGTATCTATTCTTAAATTAAGTAGATTTATGTAACTGCAAGGTTTATTTATTCAGTTGTCTTCACTACTGATAATTCTTATGGTGCATATTGCGCTTTTATTTTTTAGGGTATCACATTTGATGAGTTTAGATCATTTTTCCAGTTCTTGAACAATCTAGAAGACTTTACAATTGCAATGCAAATGTATAATTTTGCAAGTCGTTCCATAGGTCAAGGTAAGTATTTATATTTTTATTAAAAAATAAAGATACAGAACTGTTGGAAAAAATAAAAGAAAACTCATGTTTTGTAATTCCTAGTTTGTAGTTTTCATGTCTCAGGTAAAAAGTTAAAAAGGCACCAATAAGAGATCAGTACAAAGAAAACAAAAGCATTTTTTCCACAGGGGGTATCTGGAATCTGGCCTTCTACAAAGCTTGTAGAAACAGTGTCAGAAAGTCCAAAGAGGGATTATGCCAATTTTTGAACAAATTGATAAGTGGGTGCTGAAAGAACTAAGCAGGTATGTAGTGACTAAAATCCTTAATACAACAGTAGAGATGCTGGGGAGTGCAGGGTGAAGAATACGTGAAGTGATCAGACTTGTGTGCTCTCCTCAAGCAGCATCTTCACAGGTCTGACACAGTAACAGCAACATTGTCCTACATCATGTGGCCTTACCAAAGGAGTATACAGTTTTCTTTGCACTCCATTTCTGATTTGTGTCAAATAAGTAGGTGCCATCAGTATATATGTAACGTGGATTTAATTATAGCATGATTTTCTGAATTTGTTATTATGCATACTACAATATATCAAATATTATCTTTAGTTTAAAATAATTTATACCAATTAAGCAGTATCATTTTATATCAGTTGAAAGTTACTTGCTTCAGAACTGTGAAATTCAATCTGAATTTTCACATTTTCTTATTTTTGAATGCCTAAAGGTAAAAGCTCACATTAAAAGTTTAGCTGTGTTTCATAATATGTTGTCCACGAAGTAGGGTTAATGTATTTTGTTTTTTTTTCTTCTGATGTTCTCTTCTTGCAGATGAATTCAAACGTGCTGTCTATGTAGCCACAGGTGTGAAGTTATCGCCACATTTGGTGAACACAGTGTTCAAGATTTTTGATGTTGACAGAGATGACCAGTTGAGTTATAAAGAATTTATCGGCATTATGAAAGACAGACTCAATCGAGGGTTTAGGGTAAGAATTCTAATTTTCATAGTTACCCTAGCTGACACTACTACTTACCACTACTTTACTTAAAATTGTTTTAGCACCTGTAGTGCTTTAGCACCTTCTTAAATTCTTGATTATTTTTTTTTAATTAGAAAGGTACTATAACGTACCTTTTTAGTCCACAAAGCAAATGGGAGACGAGAAATCCTCTGCATACTGTCATTTCTTCTGTATTGTGTCCTTGATGGATTGGCATTACGAATTTTAACAAGGGGAGTAATTACGTGTTGTTTGCTGGGAAAAGATAGTTTGTCTTTCTCAAACTTGGACAGTTTAGACAAACTGTTGGCTCTTCTGAAACATTTAAAACGCCAAATGACTGTTGGAAAAAGCTGCAGCAGAAGATAGTTTTAATTTTCAAATAAAGAGTTAGTGAAGTAGTGCTGAACAATGCTATTATATTCTATTTCAAGGTTTCTTTTGATAATTTATCCCTGTATCTAATATATTAAATTACAAGAAGCTAGACGGCAGGAAATTACTTGCAGAAAATTTTCATAAGGAACAAACTTGGAAATTACACTTTGCCTTTTAGGTGAAGGTATAGGCCTTGCTGCCCTCTTCAGGCTCTGTGTAGTACAGCTGAATTTTACAGTTGCATAATTTTTTTTTTATTGGAGTATGATCAATAATAGTCACTTTTTTTTTCTTCATATGACAGGTGTCAGGTGTTAACTTTTTTAAATACAAAATGGTGTTCTCACTGACAATCTAATCACTGAGACATAAATCTTAAACCGTACTAGGGTTCCTAAATTCACGTTTCAATATGTTATTTCTGTAATGTTATTTTAGTAATTTTTAGTTAGCTTCCTAAATAAAATTCTACAACTTTGTGATGTTGTGTTGAGTCTAATAGTTTACTTTTATTTTTGTAATATTATGATCAAATGTAAAATGTGTATAACCACTGCTACATCTGTAACAAACTTATTTCCTTATTGGTCCTTAATTCCTTTTATTACGGTGTGGGAATGATGATTGTTTTATAACTGTTTCAAGATGTTCAGCTCTATGTTTTAATTGTTTATTAACTGTAAGTGTGCAGTGTCTGTTAATTTAACCAGAAAACAGTCTGCTTACTGAGTACTTCTTGTAAATGTACTTTCATGTTTCAATTTCACAAAATGCATGGCAGAAATCACATATAATCCTTAAGAATCTACATCATCTAGCACTGTTCAGTCTTATGCATGGATCTTACTTTTGCCTAGGCCACTATAAAATATTCAAGTGGACTGGAAAAGAACTATAAAGAACAACCAAGGATGTTCAGAAGAACAGCACAGTCTTTCATAAATGTTATGTCTAATTTTAATCAGATTGCATAAAAGATGATTGTGATTTGGTCCTATAATTCAGATACATTCAGACATGCCTACATGTAGACTTGTTAGATTATTCAGAAAAATGCATTCTCTTCACTGATCAGTAGTATTCCAAGACAATTACAGTATCAAACTTAGGAATTATAATTTCCAGTAAGTTTTTCACACAAACCTGATGTTTTTCACACATACCTCCAAGAGTAGGAGTAAAAAAACTGTCTTTTCAAATAAATACCCCCAACCACTCCAATTTTCTTTTAGAAAGAAAAGAAGAAAACACATAAGAATCTTTTGCTCAGGACAAATTGCTTCCTATTGTTTGTCCATTAACAGTTATCCAGTATTTAGTGTGGCGAGGACAAGTAAAAGTTTTCCCTCTTGCTCCTACAGTGTGGAGGGTTCAAATGTTGTCTTGTGCTATATCAAAACTAACAAATCACTAACCTTTTCTTTGTTGATAACTGTGTTTTGAATCCATATTAAGGCTTAGTCAGTTCTATTGTAAAGGTAAAAGAACATTATAGCTTATGCTCATGCAGTATTTTGTAGCAATATGAAAATTTTTGCTGTGAGAAATTTGAACCTGTTCATGAAGTGTAACTGCCAGATTTAATGTTAAGTATCCTACAACTAATGTCTGCCCAAATCTGTCTGTCACTCTAAAAACATCTAAAAATAACAGTTTAAAACAAGCCTATGATTTGAAATACGATTTTACAATCAACATCTTAGTAATTCAACTTCTGAAAAAGTTGTTTTAATAAAATGTTTGCCCAGAGGAATCTCGAAGGCATCAGATCTTGGGACTGGGACCATACAAAAGGGCATTTTGTAGTTATATAGCCTGACTAAAGCAAACATATTTAAGAGCAAAGAGTTACACAAGTGCAATGAAACGGGTTTGGAAGGTCAGTCAGTACCTACCAGCTTCACCTGTTTGAAAGCTTAGCCGTAAACTTGAGAAAGGTCAGGTACTGCCCCCTATAGGAGGATAATAAATATTAATTTTAACATATGTTTTAGCAAAAGCAATGGTATTAAAGAAATTATCAAATAAAATTTCTCTTTTGAATATTGTATTATAATCTGAAACCTTTTTTGGTTTTAGTAGTTCGAAGCAAACTAGTATATTATGCTGCCATCAAGTGGTCACTCAGACTGTTGCCATAATTTACTAAAATGTGCAGACAGGAACAGCTTTATTTTTGCTTGCCATTTGACTTAAAATAGTGATTTCCTTTTTTAAAAATTAAAAATAAATAAGAAGATTCCCTTTCCTTTATAAATTCCATTTTAAACTGAAAGATTTGGAATGTAATGACTAAATGATAAACATTTTACTGAGCACATACTATCTTCTAGCTATTTGTCACTGAAAGCCATTTTTTTGTATTTTCATGATACTGTTGTCTTATGCTTACCTCTGGCTGCCTTCACATGTTGTCTGCATCTGCGCACTTCTCCATCTTCTGCTCCACAGGGCTACAAACCTATACAGAGGTATACCACTTTCAAATCCTGCGTGAGGAAGGAACTCTATAGCAGATAAATGACGGTATGTGTTAGCCGCCCAGTCTGAGTGTGCTGGCATGCTTGCAGGAATGGCTGAATGTTAAACTGTCACTGCTGTGTTTCCTGTTCCAAGATTCAGGAATGGGTTATCTGACTGTAAGCAATGTAGTAGCTCAAAGCATCACGTCGTGTTTTTTTGACTGAAGCGGTAGAATTTTGTTCTGGAGTTGGCAATGACCGACTCACGCTGTCACTGTTTTGTAAGCCAACTGTGATTCTGTGCTATGTTTGGAAAAGGGAAAAGTATTTTTTCGTAGTTTCTGTTGCTGTTTTCTGTCTGTCCTGTGACTGCTTTTCACTAATTTCCCAGACACATATAGCTAATAAGTACTTACCAGTGAAGACTGTAAAGGCAGATTTTTCTTTCTGAGAGACTGTTAGTAATTTGGTTCTACTCTGATTTATAGTTATACTTTTGAAAACAATGTGGTTTTGGCGCTATTAGTGTTGTACCAGCAATTTTCAAAAAGAAGCACTGTGTCCACACCACCATGCTTCTTTCTGCATATCCACCACATGAATATTCTTTTGTAGCATTAGATTGTACTGTGGGTTTCAGTGTAAAAACTGTGGTGTGAGTGTTCTGGAGCTATGTTGTGAAACTCTTTCTCACATGGTGGACACAGCAGAAATGTATTGACAGACATTTCTTATATGGAGTTTGCTCCTTTGCAATTTAAGGTTTCAGTGCCAGCACTTTTTTCCTGTTTATAGACTTTACAGTAAATACTGTAAAGACTGTTAACAGCTAAAGTAGATCCCAGATGCATTCTTTTGCAGTGGGAAGAAATGTACACCATGACAAACAAGGCCTCAGAGCCAGTGGCTTGGAGTGAGTTGACCCAATGGAGCAGTCAGCACATCTCATGTGCTCATGGGACCTGAAGGGTTTCACTGTTGTTCCCTCACTGTTTTTAGTTCTGAGATACCGCAATAAACTGAGATTCCTTGTCAAATAACCCTCTTCAGATGCCTCCATACATCAGCATTGGGCATCTGACCTTCTGAATTATGCGCTTTCCAATCATATACCTCTCTGAGCACTTGTATGCCACTGAGCCTCCTCGGCCTCTGGTTTAAATCTTTCTTCCCTGACTCCAAAACTGCATGGCAGGAAGGTAGGGAGTGTCAGTGCACTAAGCAGGGTGTCTGTTTTTCTGGGGTGATGGCTGGTTTCCAGCACAGTGGAAAAGCTAAGTCTATAAGGATGAGAACTGAGGTCCATTTACCCAGACTGGTAGCCCGCCGGCTCACCAGTCCCACTGATGTTTTCCTTTTGTAGACCCAGGGTCCCTTACCTAGATAGGTAAGGGAGAAGGAAATATATCTTAACTATTGACCTGTTTCTGTGGCACAGCATGTCATGTATCCTAAACTGTGTTCTTTGGAACATTTCATGCATTTTTTATTTTTTTCAGTGAAGTGTCACATCTTTTGAACAGGCCAGTTCTCTGAAATTCATCAGGAACAATGACTTGGGGCATGTCCAGGCTTCCCTAGGTGTTACATCCTCCTAGAAAGAAAAGTTCTGTTTCATCTGCATACATTCTTCTCATAACATTTGCATCCTTAGGATTATTTCTTTATTATTTTGATTAACTATTAACATTTTTTAAATCATACTTCCTCTTTATGAGTATAACCCAGATACTCAAGCATTGTCCTAATATGTGAAGAACAGAAGAGGAAATCTGATCTTAACAAAACGTCTGGTTTCTGGGAAGTGGAAATGTATATTGGAAAGTATAAATGAAGTAGTTACATCAACAGTTTAGTCATCTAGTTCACCAGTCACATAAGAGGAAATTTGTGGGTTTAGGTTAGTTCTATGTAAATTCATCTCTCTGAAACTTTTGACTCTCAAAACTTCTTTTCCCATGTTATTTAAAAATCATTTTTAGGAGTACTTTGTCTTTCATCCCCACTAATTCTGCTACAACCTACATTGTAGTTGCATATCAAGTATTGTTTAAACTGTAAACTTTTCAATATGCAGAACAGCTTTTACAGGAAACTGGCAAAATGCTGTACAGTCATGATGCTTTCCTAATAATTGCAGTGAAGGGTACGCAACCAAGTGGAACAAAACGCAGTGACACAAAAGAATCCAATATCTAATCATTAAGCCTAATAAGGAGAGGCTGAGGTAAAAAGCATCAGGTTTACATATGTTGACACCTTGACAGAGATCTAAATGCAGGCAACAAGTTAATTCATTCATCATTTTAGATGGAGTGAACTGGGAGAAGAATATAGTGTGGAGATTTCTAAAGGGAGATTTTATTCTCTCTATATAAAGTCATTCTCAAGAAAAAAAAGTACGAACAACAGTATGTCTACACTATGCACTGGGAGACAGACAGAAAAACCAGGTTAGTTCTCAGCACAATGACCTGGCCACAGGCAGCCTCACTGACACATAGTGTAGAGGGTGCTGGTTATTTACCTTGCCCTTCTTCCCACCTCAGGCTCCTGGCTGCTGTAACAACAATGCTTCTGGTACCCAAGCTTACTTGTATAGGTCTGTATCAGATATCCATTCCCTGTACACTCAGGAGTGCAGTGTAAATGTCAAATTTGTAAAATCCCATCTTCCCTGCAGGCACGTTAGTCAGCTACTGCTCTTCACTTGATCACTGCTCCTTGTCTCTTGTGATGAATTACAGTAATATATCTAGTTGTTAGCTGTTCTGCTTTCTTTTTGTGCAAAATGTTACTTAAGTTACAGCACTTCTTCAGATTGGTAAATATTTATTAAAGTTTCTTGCAAATGTCAGTTAATGGAGATGAAAACGTTAGCTGAAACACATGTGAAGTGATTTGGAGTTAGTTACTGTGGAGAAGAAAGAATTCGTTCCAGTCTTTGCCAGACAGTGTGAAGTGAAAGCAAATTTACATAATTCTAAAAATAATTATTTTCAGTTCAGTTTATAAACTGAAAAGTTAATAAAAGCAGAGTCGTTGGAGTTTCAATTGGGTAATTAAATTTCAGGCTGATGTACAAAAAGCCGTGTAAATGTGTGTGAAATACAAAAATTGCTGCAGTTTCATTCTAAGGTTAGGTCCAATACAGTAACTCTTAATTTTACTTTTTTTCCAAATATAATTGTCTGTGCTTTGATATACTTTCTGTGGTAAATGTACAACACTGATGAAGGAGATTAAGATACTTGGCATACATACCATAGATCATACCATACTTGGAATCTGCACCTTGAAAAGGAATAAACAGCACAGTTGTGCTATACATTACATATAGCTGAATTGCACTAATGCAATTTACTTAACAGAGTAAAGAATGTTATACCCTTATACCTTTGTAATACTAACGAAAATCTCTCCTTGGGGCACAACTGTACAAGCTCTGTGTGGTCCAAACAGCTGGCAACGTTTTTGGATAGTGTGTCTTTCTGCGTTGCCCTCCCTGCAGGGCACACACCCGCTGACTTCGGCAGGTACTTCTTTGCCTACACTGCTGGGAGAAAAACATGTTGGTAGGGAACTGCCAAACAGAGGTGAGAGCTCTTCTCTTTGAATGAATAACCCTTATGAAAGGTTATGGAAGAAATTCCTAATGAAACCCTTTCAGAGTTGATTTCCAGAAAAGGATGCTAGAGGCCAGCTTCAAGAGGGGTTCAAGTCCACCTGACAGTACTGTTTCATAGAATCGTAGAATGTTGGGAGTTGGAAGGGACCTGTAGAGATCGTATAAGTCCAACTCCCCCTGCCAGAGCAGATCCCCTAGGGCAGCAAAACCCCCCCCCCCCCTGCCAGAGCAGATCCCCTAGGGCAGCCACACAGGAACGCATCTGGGTGGGTTTTGAAGTCTCCAGAGAAGGAGACTCCACAACCTCTCTGGGCAGCCTGTGCCAGTGCTCCGTGACCCTCACAGTAAAGAATTTTCTCCTCATGTTGGGGTGGAACTTCCTATGTGTTAGCTTATACTCATTATTCCTTGTCCTATTACTGGGCACCACTGAGAAGAGACTGGCTTCTTCCTCTTGACACCTATTCCTCAGATATTTGTGTACATTAATAAGATTCCTCTCAGCCTTCTCCTTTCAAGGCTAAACAGCCCCAGTTCTCTCCGTCTGTTTCATAGGAGAGATGATCAAGTTCCTTAATCATCCTTGTAGCTCGCCACTGGACTCTCTTCAGTAGGTCCCTGCCTCTCTTGAAGAGCCCAAAACTGAACACAGTGTTCCAGGTGTGGTCTCACCAGGGCAGAGTAGAGGGGGAGAAGAACCTCCCTAGATCTGCTGGACAAACTTTTCCTAACGCACTCCAGAATCCCATTGGCTGTTTGTTAAACTATATGCGTGCTCAGTAACTGTAATAGATACTTAAGCTATAATTCCAATTTTGTTGACTTCTACACTATTGAATATAAATACTATATGTCACAATTGTAAATCTAGAAAATAAGTTCTAAGTCCTAGTAATTTCTTGAAAATCTTGCCATTTTTGCATTAAAAGAACTGGGGTTTAGATATTCTGAATTTTGTGGGGCTTCTAAATTTCTGATTAAACATTTTTAGGAAGGAATAAATAGACAGAGTCTTGGGACTGATTGGGGAAGGAAATTTCATTTTGAGAAAGACGTGAAAGACTCAAGCATAGATTCAGAACCTCATTTCTAGTCGTGTTTCTAGTCATAAATACTTCATTCAGTTGAGCAACATTAAGATGTGTCATCTAGTTAATATTTTGAAAGGGTTTTATTTCTATACTTTCCTAATATACAGCAATTGAGTACATCTATTTTAAGAGATAGCTTTAAAAAAAATGAAGAGGCTGTTGCTTACTAGTTGAAGAGACTGTTGCCTACCTCTTGTTTAAAGCAAATAAAGTGGGAAGTGTGTGATGGCACACCTGACTCATCTTACAAAAGTAGCTGAAAATTACAGAATCCAGACTTTTGATCCTAAAACTGACTGGAACCTTTAAAACATACCTGGGTACAGTGGGAGGAAAATGTTCCAGTGAAATTTGAAAGCATTGCAGAGTACATCGACAAAATGTACTCTCCAGGGCTTCTATACACTGAGAGTAGATACGACAGTGATGCATACATTAGAAATAAGCAGATGAACAGTTGACGTACCTTATTGTTTCTTTTACTGATTTTTGTGAACATACCTGTTTCATAAAAAAACCCACCCTTCTTCTGTATCTCAGAGTACCAATTAATTAACTGAATGTGCTTTTCTTTAAATAATGCAATGCATGCTGCAAGTAATGCAGGGTTTTTTCATAAGGTTGACCATAAATCTCAACTGAATTATGCATTCATCCAAGTATCATTTCTAACATTTCATTTAAAATCTGGATGGTATACAGCTGTGTAATAGATAGTTTTCTGAATATTTACAACTTCTGGGTAACATTCTATGCTTTTTAATTATACAAGATGAGTAATAAGAATAAGTGAAATATAGGCTTCACTCTTTAGTGGTTGGTTTTAATATACTGCAGTGTTGCAATATTTTTAACTTCTTCACTCAGCTCAACCAAAACAAGCTATGAGACAGACAGTACCTTGACACTGTAACCATATACCTCCAGATACTGGACTTAATTTCTAAAATGGATTACAGGTTAAAATTACTTGTCAATGCTTCTGACCTATCTACTGTTGTAATTCCTCTTCCTTACTCAGTCTCTTTCCTCAGCTGATGTAATATTTAGCCTCTCTCCATCCTTCTGTACTTACTGTCATAATTGTAAACTGTGCTACTTGTGAAAATAGGAATAGTGGAAGAAATTATGAGGTCCAGTGATAACTATAGACAGGTGGGGCCTAGTGAAATCTCTCAAGCCAGCCTTTGGATGATATTCCTCTCCATTCAGTGGGCACTTATTAATGTCAGTGACCTACAGTGCAGTTCAGGATAAAGGTAGCCTAGTATAAAGAAGTATTCCTAACATCTGCCTATTTTGTATTTTGCTTTTGCTAATGACTCAGTTTTATGAACATCAGTAATTTTCTGTGCTTTTTATTTGGTGTTAGAAGCGAATTTAGCGCAGTGTAGACATGAAGAAGCAAGAAACAAACAGAGAGAGAGAGAGAACAGATGATACTTGAATAAAGAGGGAATCCTTTCTTACAGCTTTTAATATACATAGGCTTTTCGTTGAATGCTGTGTGCTGTGAGGTGAGGATGCATTCTGAATACATAAGCTGTGTATGGATTTATAGCCCTCATTTTAGAGAAGTACTTCTGAGCCATAGAAGTATTTGATCTTTCGTGATTTAATATTAAAACATATCTCTATTTTGTATGAGTCTGAGTCAAATTCAGTGTAATACTAAGGAATTTAGTGAGCAGTATCTTTTTCCAATTGTATGTGCTTTGCTTTTCACAGGAGTCTCCAAAGTATGGTTGGAAGGAATATTACTCTTGTGTGATGACTGTAACCAGTGAACATCTGAGAGATCTATGGAAGCAATTTCGGAGACGAGATATGCTGAGGTAAAGGAAGAAAGAAGGAATATCTGCACTGGTTAGAACTAATTCCTATGAATTCTAAATGAAGAACAAACTAACCCCGGTTAATCGTGAATCTTCCAGATGCAGTAGAAAACACAGGACTTCTTTTCCACTTAATGTAGTCATCAACTCTTACAACTCCTTTTCAGTATTTATTTAAGTGATAAATTATCTCCTGATTAGCAGAAGTCTTTTTTTTTTAAGAACATATTTTGAATATTATTTTTTGTTATTTTGAGATGTGTTTGTCATTTAAAAGAAACCAATGTAAGTGTTACATCTGGATAGGCAGTGTTTTGGCAATGAAACCACCCGCATCAGCATAGACTGTGAATTTGCTTTCAGAAGAGCACTATTAAAAGTTTATGCTAAGCTGGGAATGAGAATACACTCAGTAGCGTGACAATTATATTCGAGTTGAATGTACAAATTGTTAGAAGCTAACAAAGCTGTTACTTTGAAAAGAGTAAAGCTGTTACAGGTATAATGTGAATGATAGGTTTTTACCTAGGAAAGGTACTGTACTGTATGGACGATAATGTTCAGATTCTTCAAGTCTTACTATGATATTTAATTTATCCTTATAAAAAATAGTACAGATTTTAAGATGTCTTACAAGTAGTATGTTGAAGAAAAGTCAAAATGTTTAAATTCATGTAAGTAACACCCACATTGTAATATTTATTATAAATTTTATTGCCATATGTATAAATTCACTGATGTGTTTCTGGTAGTGTAAAATTTCATGTGTTTCTTGTGAATAGTGCACTTTTATATGAAGTAAGATGTGGCACTGAATAGAAATTACAGTTGTCTAATTTGCTACTCTGGAATGCAGATCTGACAAATAACTCGTGATTGTGTCAAACAAAAAAGCAAAACAAAACATGAATGCATGCAGCAGTACAGAGCAACACTAAGTAATGTTATTTGAGTGTTACACGTCAAATTTTAGACGTAAATTAGGCCTTGCAAAGATTATGGAGACTACAGGCAATCAGTAGTCACCATGACCTTTCATGCTTCATAGGTTTAGATGTTACTGAAACAGTGGTAAGAGCAATGTACATTTGTTTTAATATTCTCTAACTTTTTTAGTTGCTATTAAGCTGCAGTTTCTCCTTACTCCCTTTCAAGGTGATTGTGAGGTGGTATGGATTAAACCCAAACACACACATGTTTCTCATACCCTTTTTGAAAAGGTTGACTGGACATTAAAAGAAGTCTCTATCTATTTAGGAACAATCTGTGCCTTGAAATATTTCTAGCTGAATACACACACATTAAATGTAGTGTCAGTAAATTTTTATCAGAAAGGGAAATATTTGTTGGAGTCTGACAGTTAAAATAGAACCAAAATAATGGTTTTAGTTGTTTATTACTCCAAATACTTGTAAGCAAACTTCCCAAAATTGTATTTAGTCTACATATTGCTCAAATGCCATCTTAGGTCATGTGTGAATAGAAAAGATGCATCTGTGCAAGTACATCTAGGTTTAGGTATGTATATTTATTACAAGATTTATCTCTGCTAAGAAATCAAAACAAAATGAAAAGGAAGATTTTTTTAAGAAATTCTACTCCGGGAATCTTGGGGAAAAAAATGTGCTAGGTGTGGCTTTTATTTGAAAAAGCCAGTTCAGAAAGCTTTGGAAGCATGCTATTTTTTGTTAATGCTTCATGATAAATACTTAGTAAATTTCCACCTTGGCATGCTTAAGATACCAACAAGAAAAATCAAATAAATTGGGATAAAGACACAACATAATGTGGATAAGCTGCAATGCCTGTGTCATCATTTAGGGAGTTAATTTTATTCAATCTATCGTCTTGGTACGCAGAACTGTCTCACTGCTTCTTGTCAGCATAGGCAAACCCAATTTGCTACTTCCGTGACGAAGGACAGAAAATAGGCAGAAAAGATTGTGAGTTACGGAAGGGGTTCCCCTCCTTCCTATTCATTCACTACTGCCCGCTCACAGTGATCCTCCCCAGGGAGGAGGTATCAGCACCATCATCATTTTGCTTCTCCACTGCCCTAGGCAATAGTGCACTTTGCTTTCATGGCTGGCTTGAGACAATTTTATCATTTTTCTATATATTTCCTAACTATATTCACTTAATATAAAATAGAATGTGAAAGTGTCAGATTAGTTTTTAACAGTATTTTTTCTCATGTTTAATAATAAGTTATTTAATATAAATATGAATATATGTGTATAATATTATTGTTTATTTCAAAATAAATGCACTTAAAACTGATTATATTTACAGTGTATGTCATTCAAATTCTTCTGTCTTAAAAAAATCTTCTTTGTGTGTAACGTGAACGTACAAGTCCTTCGAATTACAGCATCTCCCCATCACCAAAAAATAGACTTTTTTGCTTCTTTCGGTTGTTTCTTTAGATAGCTTTGCTTTTCTACCACAGAATTGTCTATAAAAGAGCTGGAAGTACAAGGACAGACAGGTGAAAATAAAGCAGGGTAATAATCAGGCATGCCATCTGCTCTGAAGGCACCCCTTGGGTAGAGCAGCAGTCACTGTGCTCAGTAAGACCTCAGTAAGTTCAAAATCTGCCAAATTCCTGGCAGCACAGAAGACGCATACGTTGCAACTAAACTATGTGATAGTTGTGTAAACGAAGGCTTTTTGTAAAACCAGCTCTTGTTCTTTTCTGTAAGTTAAGAAAACTGAAATAACGTAATTAGATGCTCAGTGGATGCTTAGGAACTGCCGCTGGTGCCCACTCAGACCAGCTGTAAATTGTGGTAATATGGTCACTGTTAAGCCTGTAGCTTTGCATTGCTCTGTGATACTAACTTTTGTCTGAGCTTTGATGAATTCCTAGTTCCCAGCAGAATATCCTGTGCTGCGCCCTGCTTCCTGCTAATCTGATGTTTAAAATCACACTGGCAGTTTGCCTCCTTGCATGTTTTGACAGTAAGTCGATACAAATTACTTCCACTGCAAATGTGTGTGTTGTATGCCATAGAACGTTATCAGCCTAAAGAAAAAGAAATACTGTTTAACAGTGACTAGCAGCATATTGTTGGTCCTGCTGCCCGCTTTTGTATAGTTATTTGATCTCCACTTTTCACAGAATCACAGAATGTTAGAGGTTGGAAGGGACCTCTGCAGATACCTAGTCCAACCTTCCTGCCAGAGCAGGACCACAGAATCTAGGGCAGGTCAGGATAAGGGTCTATGAAAGAAAATGAGGAAAAAGCAGTAGGTCACTTTGCTTTGATTCAGCGTTGCATCATACTCTTTACATGATGGTGTATTTTCCTGTCTTGTCCCACTGAAGAAACTTTCAAGGCAGTTTCTATCAAAAGAACTCAAGACTAATCCTTGCAGAAGGCGAAGTATCAGACCAAAGGCTCACTAGTAAAAAAAAAAAAATATTTCAAACAAAACTAATTTGTAGCAATACCAAGTCTGAACTCCCCTTAAACTAAAACTAAAATGAATATTTTCTAATACTTGAGCTCTGAATATACAGTGTTTTCCTCTCTGTCGAAAATCCATGAAAGCATTTGGCACTCTGAACCTGTCAGCAGGGGGTGCTCTTGGATCGGTTACGTTCTTTTTCCTGCACACAATTAAATGCATGGGAGTGTGCTTTAATGTTGAATGGGTAACGCTAATTTTTACCACTAGTTTGACTTCCATAGAGGAACATCATTATTATTAACTAGGAGCAAACATAAAAATTGTAGTACCCACTTAAAAATCTTCATCTAAAATACCTAATTGTATATATATATAAACAAGCGGAGAAACAGCAACGTACTAAATACATTTAAGCTTTAGTAATAGGTTCCTGTTTATTCAACATAAGCATATAAGCTATTATTCCTGTTTGAATTTGGGTTTTTTGTGAAACTACGAAGAACTGAGTTACCTATTTATATGTCCACCTTAGTCTAAAATGAAATTATATTACTATCATTGCACAGGAACATTTCCAGCTCCCATTTCATAGCTATCCATTCCAAGTTACTTTTAATTTACAGTTTTCTTCTTACAAATTTATAATCTTTCTCCTTTTTAAGAAACAATACCCATAAGCCATGCTTTTTATTACTAAGTGGTTTTACTGGTAAGTGGTTTTAAGTGATTTGCCTGAGGTTGTAGGTGCTGGTTCAAAACAGTGAACTCGTAACTCACTGTAACCCTGATTAAGAGGTTATAACCTAGATTCAGAAGAGTATAGTGCTGTTAAAAAACCCTAAAATAGGGACATTGTAGGATGTTGCTCGTGGGAGCTCTGCATTCTCATGGGCTTTCTTTCATGGCCTGTAGCATGTGTGTGACAAGGGGGTGAGATGGCTCAGTTAGAAATTAACACAGCCCAAAACACCGCATGCATGTGTATAGATGTGATTCAATGGAAACAGCTCCTGGTTACCAAAGTGCTGGGGACAGCGTTTGAGAGGGGGTGGAAATTCATTGCCTGAAGCAGAGATGAAAAGCAGGGTAACAGCAGTCTGGATTCAGAGAGACATGAGATGCTGTGGTAGTTGCTATTAAATTATGCTTCTTGCCAGAGATAACACAGCTCATAAAGAGAATATGCCCTTGCGCTTGGAAACGGCTTAACAAAACGCAATACAAGGAGCAGGGGCTGGAATCCACAAGTTCCTGTCTGGGGCAGATGCCCTGAGAGGCTGCTGAAGTATTTTACTTTCTCTACTCCTATGAATCTTAAATCCTTTTCTGTAACCTTTTATGAAGACAGCAGACGAATTGTCAAAACTGGCCTACACACAGGCAATTAAAACACTTCCATGCCAAGTGAAAAGAAAGGAATTGTGGCTGTCACTGCATTTTGTGCAGAGACATGTTCTCAGGATCCCTGGCAACAAAAGGCATGAACACGGGAAGGTATTTCGTCCCTGGAATGAAAACTCCAAGACTAGTATGTCTAGGATAAAACTACACAATGAAAAAATTACTGCTGAAAGTGACAGAAGATTGGGTGGATAATAAGCCCAAATATGACTTTAAAAGCAGGCTCTGACAAATATTGTACTGTATGAACCCAGGGTTAGCAATCAAGACATTCCAGGAAGGACTTAGTTACTTGAAAAGGAACTAAATGAGCTTCT